CGGTCCCTGTGCTTTGCTTAGCTTATTCTAAGTAGGTGCTTTAGACCACTGAGCCATCTCACCAGCCCCTGCTATTTGTTTATCAATAAAATTATGAAAAAAATAGAGCAAATAAAAATGAAGCTTCACCATTAAAAAAAAACAAACCCACAAAAGACAAAAATGTAGGGTGGGTGTGGTAACACACGCCTGTAATCCCAGCTCTTGGGAGGCTGAGGCAGGAGGAATCATTAGGGTCTGAGAGACCAGCCTGGGCTACAAAGTGTGCTCAAGGCCAGCCTGAGGGGGCCAGGGAGATGGCTCAATAGAATAAACGCTTCCCTGGCAAGTGCAAGGCCCTGAGTTCAATGGGGGGGGAGGTAGCCTGAAATGCACAGCAAAACTCTGTCTCAAAAAGACCAAAAAAGTTTAAAAATCTGGCTCCCACCTTCTTAATTTCTCTACTTCTTAACTGTTCAGACTCAGTAACAGACCTGCCAACTCCAGGCCTCTGCACATTTTCCCTCCCTAAACCTCAACCTTGGGGCTGGGGATACAGCTCAGTGGCACAAGCACCTGCTTGGCAAATGCAAGGTCCTGAGTTCGACCCCCAGTACTGCAAAAACAAAACAAAATAATAAATCCCAACCTTGCCTGGCTAACTGCTTTTCACCTTTAGCATATACTTTACATTTCTGGCTCCTCCCAAATATTCACTCATCATTGGATTTTGCTTTTTTTTTCAATACTGCTTCTCACCATTGGCTCCAGGGAGTGATGAGCTACATTTTTTATTGTTTACATTTATTTGTCAGTATAGGGGTTCAAACCTCAGACTTTGCACATGCTCGGGATGTGTTCTACCATCGAAGTACATCCCTATTCTTTCCCCCTTTACCTCTTGGGGTTTTGGTCTGGGCCTGGGACTCAAATTTGCAGCCAGGTGCTTATGACGCTGAGCTATATTCTCATTTCCCCCATCTACCTCTACCTCTGTCCTGAGACAGGATCTCACTAAACAGACCCGGCTGGCCTTGAATTTTCAATACTTCTGCCTCAGCTATCCAGTATTGCAAGTGTGGGCCACCAGGCCTAGATTTCACTGCAGTTTTGTTTTGTTTTGTTTTTTAACTGTACTGATTTTTTTTTTATAATTTTTATTTGTTTATTTATTTGCGTGTGTGTGGCCAGCTCAGCCCACCAGGGGGCGGGGCTGGCTGGCATGTGGTGCTGGGAGATTGAAACTCTGTCCCTGTGCTTTGGTAAGCTTGTTCTAAGTAGGTGCTTTAGACCACTGAGCCATCTCACCAGCCCCATTAACTGTACTGATTGCTTGTGCCTAACATTCCACATTTTTGTTTCTATAAATCTTTCCCCAGCTGGGTATGGTGGTGCTTGCCTGTGATCCCCACATGTAGAAGGCTGAAGCAAGCAGATCTCTGTGACACTGGGCCAGCCTGGGCTACCCAGTGAGTTTAAGGACAGCCTATTTGAAAAAGCAAATAAAAAGGTAAAAAGGCTTCCCTGACAAACCTGGGTGTTCTGTCTGAACCTCTATACACATACACACACACACACACTTTTGAGGAGGGTTAAGATGGGGTTGAGACAAGGTCTTGTTATACAGTTCAGGCTGATTTTATGGAAGTGCTGGGATTATAGGGGTACACTCCCTGGCCTTTCTGGAGAAACACTGGGGGAAGCCGCTGTTTCCATCACCTTTTTCCTTTACTTCTTGGGAAAATTGGAGTCACCTCTGCAGAACATTAAAACATCTTAGAGGGGCCGGGGAGATGGCTCAGTGGAGTAAGTGCTTCCCTGGCAAGCGCAAGGATCTGAGTTCAATCCCTAGTTCCAGGAAAAAAAAAAAAAAAAAAATCCTAGTATCCTTTTTTTTTGGGGGGGGGATAAAACACAAAACCTCCCTCCTACAATATTTCATTGGGCTGCACCCCCAGCAAATTCCAGGGGACCAAATGGGATGGTGCTGGGATAAGGAACTTGAGAACTTGAGAAAGCAACAGGCCTGACCAGAACACACCTCTTCTAGGGAGGTACTGCAGCCTTGAGTGTAAATAGTCTAAACAAAAGCGCTAACTCAACCGATCCGCTAAGGTTCAGCCCCATTCTCACGTGACAGCTCAGGGGCCGAGGAGTAAAAACATGTTTCAGTTTCCCCAGACCCAAGCCAGGTGCAAGCGAACTCCTCCGCGCTTTCTGCTGCACCTCCAAAGGAAAGGCGGAGATCTCTGGAAACTACAGGTGAGGAAACACGAAGAAGGTGGCAACTGCACTTTACAGACCACCTTCTACACGCCACCTTCCACGTTCAAAGCGTTCTCTCCCATAATTCCCGCCACAACGTGCCTGTTCCTGTCATTTCACCACGGAGCAAAGAGGTTCTCACCCAAGCTCACGCAGGAACAGAAGGGAAACCTTAAGTCCGAACGCCAGCGGGCTGCCTCCAGCATCCGCGCTCGCGCTCCGGCTCCGGGGAGGGGACACCGCGGTACTGAAGGCTCAAAGCCCCCTCTTCCGGAAGGAGGGGCCAGCAGCGGGAAAAACTCACCTCAGCCAGAGAACTGATTACAGAGACAACAAGGAAGCCAAGGAGTACACTGCACCCGAGCGAGCTCCCCGGGTCTCGGCTTAAATCGACCCTGAAGAAAAAGTTCCGCCCGAGGGGGCGGGCCGAGCAGCCCGGCTGCACCGTGCGCGCCGCACCACGTGAGCGGTCTTGGGCGTTCCCGCCACGCCCCTGGCCGCGCACACTGTGCTGCGCCTGCGTCGCAGGAGCTCCAGGGCTTCCTGGTGAGGACCGGGTTGGGTGCCACGTGGCGTCATCTCCTGAGACCCGCCCCGCCCCCAAACGTGGTTAGCAGGCTTTGCTCAGCTAATTTCAAGCAGCTTTTGGCCCAGTGAGCAACCACGACGCAGAAGGTGTTAAGAGCAAAGAGCATCTCCTGGATCTCCAGACTTCAGGTGCTAGAAAACTTTGCCTGGATCGTGGACCCTAGTCCCACATTTATGTGCCAGGCACTATGATAAAGGCTTCATAAATATGATTCTTTTCAATGCTAGACAAAGAATATTCTTTTTATATTCATTTATTTTTGTTATGGGTGTTTCTAAACCCAGGCTGGCCTCCCACTCCTAAACTGGAGCAATCTTGCTTCAGCCTCCTGAAACTACAGCTGTCTGCTACCATTCCAAGCTTGTTGGTTTATTGTTGTACTGGCTATTGAACCAACAGAGCACTGAGCTATTTCTCGAGCCCTTTTTAATTTTATTTATTTATTTATTTATTTTTTTTTTTCAGAACCG